GGTTAAAGTATTCGTTATTCAAGTAGTCACTAGAGTAGTCGCTGTCAACCGAATTGTCAAAAACCTAAACATCAAAAAACAAAATCATTCAGCTTTCGATTAAAAACAAGTTTATGTTGCAAAATATACGGTGATTTCAAATGTTCAAAATTTGCGTCCAATCAATCAGTCATGAACATTTCGATTTTGGAAAATGTTCGGCATAAAAGAGCCAGTAGCAACACTAAATATCATTGCCTTAACGATTACTACGTGCTTGGAATAAAACGGTTACATCTCGCCGTAATCTATGGTAAATCCAAAACGACCATCAGTTCCTGGATATCGGAATACGAGCGCAACGGAAACTTTGGAAAGAGACCTCGACACGTAACTTTCCCGATATTTAACCATGCAAAGCGAAAATGGATATTGAATCTGTATGAACGATGTCCCATATTGCACCTAGACGAAGCACAACAAATGTTCACCTCTCATTTCGGCGTGTCGATTAGTGTCGATTCCTCGATATGTAAGATCCTGCACGCACATGGAATGTCCTGGAAGGTGCTGGAGCGCAGAGCTATTCAAATCCGTGAAACTGAAATCATTAAGTTTAGCAGAGAACTGTCTTGTGTTCAATGGTTTTATCCACAACTCGTTTTCTTGGATGAAGTATCGTTTGACAATCGCGATTTGTGGCGAACTAGAGGGTATGGAATGGTTGGTCAGAAGGTTGTTTATAAAGGAGAATTTCGGCGCCGACCAAGAGTTTCTACAATTAATATGGACCAACAGGTCTGTGCCATAAAAAAGGGAGTTTCTACATTCCCCCCTATTCTGCGAGTCACGTGACTCTCTCTCACCGGTGAGGTAACAATAGTCACCTCGTGTGACGTGACTCTCCATTTGATTTGCATGGAGAGTCACCTCACACGAGGTGACAATTGTCACCTCACCGGTGAGAGAGAGTCACGTGACTCGCAGAATAAGGGGGATTGTCTTGGGGATTGTGTTTTTTGGGATATCGTAGAATACTTGAGTAATATGAAACCGATGGCACATTTACAAGACAAAAGTTTTTCGATGCGTGCAGAAAGATGGCTCTGATGAACGGGAACGTTAGATCATACCCTGGTCAGTACTCTGTCTGGATTATGGACGGTGCAAGCATACATTGCGATAAGCATATCATACAATATTTACGTTCCCTGGGAATTATTCCAATTTTTCTTCCCCCTTATTGTCCATGCTGCAACCCCATTGAAATAGTGTTTGGATTAATTAAGCGATATGTAAGGCGTCACTACAGGGAAAACAAAAACATTCAATTGTCTTTAGTTATCGGGGCTGCTCTCACAAAATTCACCAACTATGATTGTACGAATCTGTTTAGAAAGTGCGGTTTTCTTCCATTCAACCCTTCTGTAAGCAGATCATGAGGAGTACATAATGGCCAAAGTTCAGATCAAAATGAAATAATTTGAATGAAATATATTGTTGATACTGATATTATTGGTTTTTTATTCATTGAACACTGCATACATATTACGTAAGCCAAAAAGTCTTATTATTGATGGTCAACGTCAACCATATCACCGACTGAAGAAGCTAATTTCTTACTGAATTCCGATTCCTCTGGTGGCATTGAACTTTGCATTGCATTGAGAAGTGAGAGAGAAGTGTCAACTTTAGCCTTCAACTGATGGGCTAGCATTTGAACATTATTCACCTCTTTTGCGAGCACATCGACAACATCACACAGCCGGTTAACATCTGATGACATACTGTCGCATACGCTGAATGCAATTTGATTTCCTCGACGAGTGACTTGCAGTTGGCTTCCTTCTGAAATGGGTGGTGCCCGGAACAGATGTAGATATTCATCTGGTGGAGCTTCATTGACTAGTTTCGAATGTTGATCTCCTGGTTGTGAAAGGATGAAATTCGCTCACTTTTCCCAGGACGAATACAATGCTGTGTAATGGCATTGTACCTCTTTCAGGTTGCTGATGCAAGCAAACAGCTCTTCCGTTGTGGGGGCACCAGCACGATCTTTTTTACCCGGTCGTAGTAAGTTTTTGTCCACCAATCCCCAAATGGTGTTCGATGTAACTGACGTCGAATACTTGTAGATATGAATTTGAATGCGTTTTCCTCGCCAGCTGGTCAAAATCTTCGAGCCTTCACGCAAATCATCTATCGAATACAGCTTCTTGGTTTTTTGATGACGGAGTACAACAAATTTGTTGATATCGATAAAATTCGGCTTCTCATTTGTGGACCAATACACAGATTTTTCTTTCTGTGTATGATCTACCACCACTTCACGAGAAACATGAGAGCAGCTTTCCTGCCATAAGCATTGGAACAGTTCCTCAATGGTGTTTCCAACAACGTTCTTCGAGTATACTGGATCGACCAATCGTTGTGTTTTGAAACATCTCACGTAAAACACACCAACAAAATGAAAAGCGTACTTCTTGAATTCCTTCGCTGAAAGATTCACTGCTACATTGAATTCCATAGCTGTGCTTTTCAGGGACAACGACTGCTCGGAAAAACTGGATCCAGCACCATCTTGCAGTGTTGCTTCGGGGTTTTAAACCGAAGGTTCTTCGAAACGGGGATGACGTTCCGACAGAAGATCCGATGCACTATCTAGATGTAAAAATTCCACGTTGCAGTAGTTCTCCTCTTCCTGCTCGTCTCCAGAGTTTGGGCTGTCAGATTTATCAATTCTAAACATTAAAAAATTCATGCAATCAGATTAGTATAAACTGAGACTTACTAAAAAGAGTATTTACCTTCTAAATCCGGTCGAAGTTGCTGTTCAATGTTTATTTATTTTCGTTTGGTTCCGCCAAGCAGTACACACAGTGTTGAAGTTTATTATTGTTTTTTATTTACTTTTAGCACGCGGGGGGTAGCCATATGCGCAAGCAGAAGAAGGATGATGAAAACAAGTTTTATTTTTTTGTAAATAATGTGAATATTATATTTAAAATATTTTCAACCATAGTTTACGTAGTGTAAAAATATATTGAAAATTCTATTTATTTGAAGGAGCTGAAAAGAAGAAATAATCCATAAATTTGAAAACTCTGTTTATCGTTCACATATCCCTCGTAATTAAACGATTATTTGGCAGCCCTACAGGAGTAACCGATAAAATCCAGCTTTCGAGTAAATACACAATAACGGAGTGGAATTCGATCAGTGTTTACTAAATTGACAGGAAAAATAACATTTGGATTCTCTTCGCAGCTTCGTGCTTGTGAAGAGCTTTGTTCCAGCGGATTTCAACTGCGCCTGTGATCTGCTGGGCAGCTAGACTGCGTGAGCTCGTGAGCACGAGTTCATCTTAATAAACATCGAAATGGTAAGTATTTTTTAAATAATATTCATAAAAAATAAAATAATTAAAAAACCTTCCTGAGAAATTTTTTATTTCTATTTGAAAACAATAATATTTACCATAAATAAAATAAAGAAGCGAAAAAAACATTCTCTCGATTAAACCGTATCTATACATTGTAAGTATATTTCGATTTTATACTATGGCACGCATAAACCATTTTTATACTAAGTTTGCATTCTCTCCTAGATTCTCTCCATTTATACCGACCTTTGCGTCGGTACGGAGAGTTGCGATTTAGCGCTCTTAGATTTAGCGTAATACCCCGGACAGACTATGGCTTATATTATGTAATATAGGCTAGCTTGCAATGAGCACTCATACATCTAGTTTTCACTGGAAATCCTATATATGAGTGCTCATTGCAAGCCAGCCTATATTACATGATATAAGCCATAGTCTCCCGCATAAACGCGAACCATAAATTGACCTTACCTAAAATGGTTAAAAATTGTTTATAATCCCTGCTAAACTTTAACTGAAATGGTTATGGAACTTTACATGAACGTTTAATGATAAAGTTTCAACCTTATGTATTATGGTTTTTTGGAACTGGACCTTACAAATAATGGGTTGTTAAGAACCATTACCATTCCAAATACTTGTTTTCTCCATACATTTTCAGAAAGAGAACTATATAAGAACGTTTTTACTTATGATTTGAGAACATTAATGGTAATGGTTATGGTAGTCAGTAAGGTCCATTAATGGTTTTGTATTATCGCTCAACTTTACGTGGAATATATCGTGAATTGGTAATCAGTAAATTACAGGCAACCAATTCGTGATATATTCCACATAAAGTTGATCGATGTTACAAAACCATTCGTGGACCTTACTGACTACCATAACCATTACCATTAAAGTTCTCAAACCATAAGTTAAATGGTTCTAATATAGTTCTCTTTCCGAAAATGTATGGAGAAAACAAGTATTTGGAATGGTAATGGTTCTTAACAACCCATTATTTGTAAGGTCCAGTTCCAAAAAACCATAATACTTAAGGTTGAAACTTTATCATTAAACGTTCATGTAAAGTTCCATAACCATTTCAGTTAAAGTTTAGCAGGGATTATAAACAATTTTTAACCATTTTAGGTAAGGTCAATTTATGGTTCGCGTTTATGCGGGCTGTCCGGGGTATAACCATAGAGGTAACTCTAAGACCACTGGGTCCCGAAGAAAATCATTATTATTTTTGGCTCACTCAGTACCAGAACAACGGTCCCAAGCAGTCCCAAGCTATTTCACTCACCCCTGCATGTTCTGCATGAATCCACACACCCCTGATGTTATCTGTCAAATTTTCATAGCGAATCAAAACAAACATAATGTAGTAATAGAATTTCAACTAGAATAGGGTACGTTAATCGTTTGCTTGGGACCAATAGGCTACTAAAGTGGTGAGCCAATTTAAAATCGTTAGTTTCGTATTGATTGTTGGTATAACTTTTATACTATTTAGATTTCAATATTTTTTGAGTGTAGGATAATGCATTTTAAGCTTGTTTGACCGTGTTTCTATTTAAATCCCGCCCCTGATCCCACCCCTGATTGCAAAATTCGACATCGATTTTACTGTCATCACAAAAACGTCAAACGTCGTCGTCGTCACACGCACGCACCCGCGACGAAACTCCGAAACTCGCTCGCATTTCTCGCGTTTTTCACAGCCAAGCAGCAGCCTCGCGTTCATCTGCTTCAAATTAGTGGAAAAATCTGCCGCGTCAAAGGCAAGGACAAGAGTCATTTCGGTGTGAACGGTTTTGCTAATCCAACGGGTTACTACTATTATCGGTGGTGATTTTTGAGCTCGCCGAATCGAATTTTGGATTGGATTGGAATCGGGTCTGGGGGAGTGAACCGAATACAACAAGATGGTCAACAACGACAAGCAGCAGCCTCAGGAGGAGGAAAATACCATCGCCGACAATACGGTCGTGCAAAAGTACAAAACAGCCGGAGCGATCGTCAACAGTGAGTATTGACCGCGGAGGGTATCGGGATGCGAGATCCGGATTCTCGGCTGTATAAAGGAGTGGGGTCTTCTTGGTAGGAGGCTGGGAGGTTTTTTTTTTTTATTTGGCTTATTTGCTTTCTCTGTTACTCATTGTAAAATAGAAAGGACTAGTGTGAGCGAGATGGAGTGATGTTTCGAAAGGAGCCACGTTTTCGGGGGTGCCTGTAGTTTTTATTTTCCCTAAATTAGGGACTATTGTTGCGAAAACTATTGATTGATAAACGATCGCAAGATCATCTATTTTTTTAGCTATCGTTTGGTGGTTCATGGAGATTTAAGTTCGCCATGGAAGCATAATAACAAAATGACAAATTTATAACCTTAAAACTGATTTTGAAACAAGCTCTTGCCATTCGAGAGCGAAAGTGCAGCAGTGTTGTGTTGTCAAATCAGATGGACACGATGGCAGACCCCGGCCTCCTATGCATGTACACTGATACTAAATCTATTGACAAAAATACTATATTGCTGGTTTAAATTAAATACCCTTACCAATAGATTTGTGCAGAAAACAATTTCATTTAATTTTACTATTATTTCTATCAAAATTACTATGCATTTTGAGCAAGCATAGTAGTTTCGCCAGAATCATAGTAAATTGTTTTACATTCGTAGTCAACTATACTGAATTCATAGTAGATTTAACAGTAATAAGCGTGGTTATATTGATAATAAGTGTTTTCTGCAAAATAGTATTCCTAACTATGATCCTTGTTTCAGTGTAGGCAATTTTAAACGACCGTAAAGGTACCGTCTATTGGTGAGCTGGGAATAATAGTTTATTTTTTTTTTTCTTTCTTTTTTTTCTCTAGAGGCACTTCATAGCCTGATGCAGGCATGCAAAATTGGAACCTCAGTGAAGGCCCTATGCCAGAAGGGTGATCAGCAGATGGAAACGGAAGCTGGCAAGGTAATTTTTGAATAAATAGAAATGACCATTCATATGTAGGTCATTCGTTGCGTAAATTTCATTGTACATCTCGATGGTGTAGTGGTGAGAGTGTTCGCCACTATTCGTCGCACGATCGAATGTTCAATTCCCGCTGGAATCACTATGTGTTATATATTAAAATGCCCTATGATTAAAACCAACATGGAAGAGCTAAGATAGTAACTGATCAACCATGATAATTATACAATGATATATGAGGGCTAAAAAAGTAATTAAGAAAAAAACACATGGATAATTTGATTCCAATTTTTGATTCGTAGTAGAACTTAAGATCGACTTCCCTTTTTCAGAAATATAAGAATGAGCCGGACATGAAGAAGGGAATCGCTTTCCCGACCTGCCTCTCGGTTAACAACTGCATCTGCCATTTTTCACCTTCGAAGAACGATCCGGACTATCAGCTGAAGGCAGGAGATGTTGTCAAAATGTAAGTGTCCACTGTTGTTGTAGTAGTGCCTACAAACATATTTTGTAATATCGCATCGAAAACAATGCACATCAACCATGTCGATAAAGCAGTTCGTTTAAGGAAAACGCAATCAAATTGATGGTCGGAGAGAGAGAGAGAGTCTTATAAGAGTTTTATATCAATCGAATGTACTTTTTTGAATTAATATCTTTTCCTCGGTTGCAGTGATCTCGGAGCGCACATCGACGGATTCATCGCCGTGGCTGCGCACTCGATTGTGGTCGGTGCCAAGCCGGACAAAAAGGGCACAGGCCGTGCGGCGGATGTTGTCCTCGCTGCGTACTACGCCAGCCAGGCGGCGCTTCGATTGCTGAAGGACGGCACCAGCAACTATGCCGTGACGGAGACCGTGCAGAAGATTGCCGCCGAGTTCAAGTGCAAACCGATCGAGGGCATGCTCAGCCATCAGCTGAAACAGTTCAAGATCGACGGCGAAAAGACCATTATCCAGAACCCCACGATCGCCCAGAAGAAGGAGCACGAAAAGTGCGAATTCGAAAAGTACGAAGTGTACGCAATGGATGTGCTGGTCAGCACCGGCGAGGGACTGGGCAAGGAACTGGACACCAAGGTTTCGATCTACAAGAAGACCGAGGAAAATTACCTACTCAAACTGAAGGCATCGCGTTCCTTCTACGCTGAGGTGAGTGCAGTGGTTGGCCCTAACGGTACAACCGTTAGATTGACAAGCCAAGGTAGTTCTGGGTTCGAATCCCGGCGTGAACCTACAACACAATCATGCCCGATGATGAAAAACTAGCGCTCGAGGGTGTTGCGGCCGGAACAAAGTTCGGACGGACCTATCTTCCCGTGGTTTATAGTTCCGGATGTCTGTTTCGAGTATAGGACATTCGGCCACGAGTAATGGGTCTCGAGGTTCCAAGTTCTGGCCCGCCCCAATGAGTAGTAAAAGATTATGAGAGCTGAGGGCATGTTTGTGCTTTTATATCGAAGAAGACATTCGCTGTCGATAAAGTAGAACACCTAAACTGAAATCAATATTTTTGTTGCAGGTTAAAAAGAAGTACGGCCCAATGCCGTTCAACTTGCGCAACTTTGAGGAGGAAGCCAAGGCTAAGATGGGAGTGCACGAGTGCGTAACGCACAAACTGGTCGAGCCGTTCCAAGTATTATACGAGAAACACAGTAAGTAATTGCCACTCTTGAAAGACCAGAAATGCAAGGAGAATTACGCTTTTCCTACTACCCATGGATTTGCGGCCAGACACCTTGCGACATTAAGCTCGATTGTCGTCCCTCCCGGGTGGACGTCCGTTTCTCGGTGGGTTTTCGAATTTACCAGGAGTGGACTGCCATCCGGAATTGCAATACGGTCAAGGCTCAACAGTAGCCTTGGTTGTGATTTGAGGGTGAATCGGACATTGCTTATCCGGAGGAATCATTCGTCATTCCCTTTCAACGATTTCCACTCTTACTAATGGATTTTGATGGAACATGTTGTCAGTAGTCACTTTGTGTGGACTTTTGCACCAACGCTGTATTTCATTCAGGAGATGGGGATTTTTCTCCCTGGTTACAAAGTCGTCTGCAATTGGGGGGTCATGATAGGCGAGGAGCGGCAATCGTGATAAAAGACCACACAATTCTCGCATGTGTAAAAGAGACTGGATGGCCGTCTTATCGCTTTGAGAGTGCAAAAAAAATGACTGCGACGTCTGCGCGCCATCGGAGATAGCTGTTCGTGTGGAAAGAAGGATTTTTGAATAGCACGATCGCATACTCTGTTTTGGCGGCACGATGCAGTCAACTGTTTCTAAACAACCCAAATTTGAGTAGGATCTACTCATATCCGTGAAAAGTACCTAAAATGTAGGCTCTGAACCATTTGGCGGATTTTTTTAACTTTTGGTTAAAATTTGACAGATGGAAAGTTATCGATTAACCCTGCTATCCGAGCGTGGTTATTTCTGACAGACAAGAAGTTAAATTTTGACAATCGTGGTTGAGTTCTTCTCGAAAACCGGTCGATGGACAGCACAGGGATTTTCGAACATAGAGAATAACTTTCGAAATGTCACTTTTAACCACGAGTTAAATTTAACTTGGCAAATGGTTCACAGCCTAAGGCTGGAACTGGTCGAGCCGTTCCAAGTATTATACGAGAAACACAGTAAGTAATTACCACTCTTGAAAGACAAAAATGCAAGGAGAATTACGCCTGTCCTACTACCCATGGATTTGCGGCCAGACACCTTGCGACATTAAGCTCGATTGTCGTCCCTCCCGGGTGGACGTCCGTTTCTCGGTGGGTTTTCGAATTTATCAGGAGTGGACTGCCATCCGGAATTGCAATACGGTCAAGGCTCAACAGTTGCCTTGGTTGTGATTTGAGGGTGAATCGGACATTGCTTATCCGGAGGAATCATTCGTCAATCCCTTTCAACGATGGCCTTAGGCTGTGAACCATTTGCCGAGTTAAATTTAACTCGTGGTTAAAAGTGACATTTCGAAAGTTATTCGCTATGTTCGAAAATCCCTGTGCTGTCCATCGACCGGTTTTCGAGAAGAACTCAACCACGATTGTCAAAATTTAACTTCTTGTCGGTCAGAAATAATTACGCTCGGATTGCAGGGTTAATCGATCCCCCTTATTCTGCGAGTCACGTGACTCTCTCTCACCGGTGAGGTAACAATTGTCACCTCGTGTGAGGTGACTCTCCATGCAAATCAAATGGAGAGTCACCTCACACGAGGTGACTATTGTCACCTCACCGGTGAGAGAGAGTCACGTGACTCGCAGAATAGGGGGGGATAACTTTCCATCTGTCAAATTTCAACCAAAAGTTAAAAAAAAATACAACAAATGGTTCAGAGCCTTAGTAAACAAAATTGAAACTGACAAAATGTTCCACATTCGTCATCTTGTCAGTCCCAACTTTGTTTACTCAATTTTGGGTAGCCCTACTTTTGACGGATATGTGTAGATCCTACTCAAATTCGGGTTGTTTAGAAATAGAGTGTGCGTACCATTTCCACTCGTCATTTTACGCAAAGATTGACATTTTGTCTACGGGATTTTTCAGTGAGTTGAAGGGATAAGAAACGATCCGCTATGTATCACGAAACTGAAATTTGCTTGTGGGGTTTTCCTAAAGGAGTCAAGAGTTGCAGAGTCGTCGTCAACGTGAATGATTTCACCAATACCAATATAAAGTTATCAAATACAGTTCGTAGGCCATAATTAAGAACACGTCTCAAAATGACGTCCCTAAGTCCGTTCGCAATGCTGAGTTTCAAAATGGACAGTTCTATAATTTGAAACTGTCAAAAGTGAAACTTCAACACGCTCAGCGCAATGCGCAGTTTTAAGAGGTGTTTGGTATTCATCCCTACATATCGTGTGTGCGAACGGAGAAGGTGATTCTGATTCAAGAACATGTTTCCTGGAATAAGATGATTACAACAACGTAATCCAGGGTCAGGTAGCAAGTCCGAATCACGAGAAGAGGTCCCGGACGATTCTGCGGTCGAGATAATGTAAAGAAAGTACTATCTGAAGTGCAATTCGATGACGGAGGTGATTCCGGTGGCCATCATATTAAAAGCTATGGGCACTGATTCGAATAAGAAGGTTAGGCAAGTGGTTAGCATCGATACGGATACGCAGAAACGGTTTACCGGTGGTGAGCAACTCGTGAATCGCTAATGTAAATTTTCTTCGCAGATGAGAGCCACCATGACCAGGGTCAACTCACAGTTTGTGTCTATCGGACATTGGATACTCTTGAACTTGAAACTTTCGGTTTAGCGAAGAACTTTTGATTTGCACAACATCCTCCTGCAAACTTTTCATCCACAAATTGGCGACAAATTCAATTCTCTTTACGTTCAAAAAGTTTGTATCATATTAGTTGTCAATCAGGGAGATCATCCGTTCAACAATTGCGGTATGTCGCCGGATATAATCATGGACTCTAATAGTTTCTTCGCGTGTGATAGTCCATAATTGCACTTCGTTGGATCCAAGTGCAAAGATCACCAGGATCGTTGAACAGTTGAAGATTTTTAGAATAATACTTGATCATCCTGAAGTATTGAAGTATTTAATTTCAATTGTGGGTACTTATTGAAACTGAAAGCTCGAAAACATATCTTGAGGAATTAATGAAGATCTCTGATCACCTGATGGCCTTTGGAATAATTTCTGAGCAACTTATCATAAGAGAATATCTGAGAGACGTGATTTGAATTATTGGACATTAGAAGTATTGAAAAATATCCAGAGGCGTTTTTAGGAAATCTCTGATCACCTGAAGATCTTTGGAAAAATTAAGATTCATGTGGTTTCCGGAGAGAATAGTTGAGATCCATTATTTAACAGTTTGGTATCTTCAGAATAGTACCTGATAAACCAGATGGCTTCAAAGTAGTACCTGAACAACCTGAAGACTTTATAAATATCCTATGCACTGTATGGAGATCTCTGATTACCTGAAGGGTTATGCAATAGTTTCTGAATCGCTTGGATGAGTAAATATCTTTGGGTTGTGATTTGGATTGTTGATTATTTATGGAGATAGCTGATCACCTGATGTAGGACTTTGTAAACATTTCTGAGCAACCAGGTATGCTTGGATGAATATCTGATTTAAATTTTTGGGCAGTTTAAGATCTTCAGAATAATACTTGATTAACCTGAAGACTTGAAAAAATATCATGAATTTTTGAAGATCTCTGATCACGTGAAAGGTCTTAAGAATATTTTCTGAGTCATCTGGTATCAATCTAAATCATATCCCTAAGATATTTTCTCATATTATACCAAGCGACTCAGAAATTATTTCATACGTTTTCAAGTAATCGGAGATCTAGTCTAATCTAACACCAACACAACCAGTTCTTGAAAGCATCCTGGAAAATGATATATACATGCCTACATAATTTTTCTTGTCTATTTGATATATGTTTCACATCGAAGATGCGTCACACATATCAAAACGGCCAGGCCTACTGTGCAGCATTTAAGGGGCAAGATGATTCAGAAAACATCGGGCCTGTTTAAATTGAAGATTTTAACACGATGCTTCAGAATCCAATAAATGGATGAAACGTGGCCATCTCGTACCGTGCGTTCCGATTTTGGTAATTATATGATTGGTTGGTCGTTGGAAGCATCAAAGCTAGAAAGGTTAAGTGATGCTCCATTTTCTTTTAACGTTTGGGGCATGAGCACTAACTCTTGTCCTAGCCTTTTATGACTTATGGCTGACTATAGCGCCATTACTCGCTTTCTGAAAAGAAAAGAGGGAAAGGAAAGAGAGAAGGACAAAGGGAAAAGGATTATGCGAAATCTATGAACATAAACAATATTTTGATTTTAAATATACAATATAGAAATGCAGAACGGTGCGGTGGTCACTACCCGAGTCTTGTCACTATTATCAAGTCATAAAAAGTAACAAGGACTAAAATGTGATCCTTTGATTACTGGAAAATCCTGATTCCCTAGTTTGAAGTTGTCACGACTAGGTTTCGGTGGTAGATCTTCTACCAGTAACGCACCACAAAAAGGTGATCTCCGAACGTTACTGGTTTGAAAAGATAAACGAACTTACCGAGCTTAGCCAATTGAACCTGATGGCTGCCTGACATGTGTTGATGTAGAAGTCGAAATTGTAGACGAAGCTTGACGAAGATCAACATGAACTAGTCCGGTTTATGGTAGTTGCGCCTTCGATTTGAGATAAACAAATGTTCGGATGTATGTAGTCGATTTTTGATGTGCATTGGCAAGCCTGTTCGTGGTCAATAGTCAGGTTCAACGCTGCGACTCAACGAATGATGGAACTAATGATGGGACGCCTCGTGGAGGTTCTACTTGGCTTCGGAACAGCTTCTCAGCGGCAAATAATAGGGACCTAGAATGAGGAACTAGAAATTGTCTCCTGGGCCTGGTTATGGCCAGATCTGCAACCGATTATAGATAAAAAAAAACTCAACGGAAAAAAATCAAACGTCACGTTCGAACACACGCACAGCCTACTCTCTAAGTTTTCAAGTAATCAGAGATCTCCATAAAGTACTCAGAATATTTTTTTTTTCAAGTCAGAGGAAACATGTCAGAAGGCTATAGCTCGAAACGTAAACAATGACTTGGATCGTTGGTTTCTTACGAATGACAACAC